TCAGACATAATATCACTCCTGATAGCTCCGCCATGGCAGATTCCTCTGAGGAGGGATCTGTTGTCTCAGGCAGAGGGCACAGTCTTCCACCCTCACCCAGAGCTGTGGAAGCTGTGGGTCTGGCCTCTGAGGGGGTTCAGTACCTAAATGCTGGTCTATCAGCTGGAGTAGTTGAAACCATACTTAGCTCTAGGGCTCCATCTACTAGGAGATTATATGGCCTCAAGTGGAATGTGTTTTCACTTGGTGTAGAGAACATGAGTTGGACCCAGTTAACTGCCCGGTGGCTTCAGTTCTGGAGTTTCTTCAGGATCGTTTCTCTGCGGGTCTCTCCCCTTCCACGCTTAAGGTGTACGTGGCTGCCATTGTGGCTTTCCACTCACCTTTAAGTGATGGGCCTCTGGGGAGGCACCAGTTGGTCTTTTGTTTTCTCCGTGGTACTTGGAGGATGAGACTGGCAACCAGGTCCAGGGTTCCTGCCTGGGACCTGGCAATAGTTCTGGAAGGGTTGTCCCTGGCCCCCTTCGAACCTCTACAGTCGGCTTCGCCTAAGGACTTAACGCTGAAAATGGTTTTTCTCTTAGCTATTACCTCACTTAAGAGGGTGGGAGATCTCCAAGCCCTGGTACACCAGCTTGCTTGGAGTTTGCCCCTGGCAGAGTAAAGCTTTTTTGCACCCGAGTCCGGGCTACGTGCCTAAAGTATCGAATACGGCTCGGTCTACAGTTCTTCAGGCATTCCATCCTCCACCTCATGTGTCGGCAGAAGAAGAGAAGCTTAATTTGCTCTGCCCCGTCAGAGCTTTGAGCGTGTACCTTGAGAGGTCCTCTTCTTGGAGAAGGTCGGACCAATTATTAGTATGTTTTGGGTCACCTAAGAAGGGGCTCCCGGCATCCAAGCAAACTATTAGTTTTTGGATTGTTCAGGCTATTACTGAGGCTTACAAGGTGCGCAATTTGCCTTCACCTTTAGCCGTGAGGGCTCACTCAACTAGAAGCATGGCTTCTTCTAGGGCCCTTCTTTCGGGAGTTCCTCTACAGGAGATCTGTGAGGCAGCCGGTTGGGCTACTCCACATACTTTTATTAAGTTCCACCTTCCTAGTACGCCTGGCACACACGTGCTCAGTCCTTGCTGAGTGCCTAAACAGTTTCACTCTGGGACAGGCCTATTCGGTGCGTGGCCTAGTGGGCACTCGTTCCCCAAAGTGTCGATTCTCGACGCAGTGTAGAGTTCCCTCGAAAGGGAACGTCTCGGGTTATGACTATAACCCTTGTTCCCTGAGAAGGGAACGAGACACTGCGTCGTTCTGCCACGCCCCTTGAGGCCTTGGAGCGTCTTGCTTCATCGCGAGGCTAGTGTGTGTTGTGACAGTGTCACTTTTATACTTCCGGGTATGCCGTCACATGTTACGTCACGACGCAACACCAATCAGGATTGGATTAGTTTCATTCATACTTCAGAGGCGCACGCTTAGGGAGCGTCCCCAAAGTGTCGATTCTCGACGCAGTGTCTCGTTCCCTTCTCAGGGAACAAGGGTTATAGTCATAACCCGAGACGTTATCATTTTTTAGACAATTTTCTATTACATTGATCTCACTTAAATGTTTGTTTTTACAATGGGGTAATTTTTTTGTTAAGAGTTTATGCAACACATGGAAGCTTGATTTCAATCTTTGAATTAAATTGAAAAAAGTAGCACAAATAAATACAATAGAATAGGCCTAAAGACACAAATAAAGAGACAGTTTTTGGAGAAAAGTTTTTGGGTAGGTCAGAAATACTACAGAAACTGAATAAAGTAATCCAATGTAAAATAACACTGGATAGTCTTTTAGTCCTGACTGAATTAAATACATAGGCTATTAATTCTGATTCCTTACAATTAATGCTATATTATGTTGTTTTGACAACAAAATTAATGACAGACACATATGGCTGCATTCACTTTAAGAACTAGTGCACGGATCCATTACGTTTCATTATAGGCTACTGTCTGTCAGACGCGTTTTATGCTTATTTAAGACATAACCGACTGTCTTTACGAGGTTACTCACCAAGACCAGAGTTTTGACATCATTTTGCGTGTTTTTAACTGTTAAAGCGATATAATCCACGGAAAAGAACTTTTGTTACTGGCGAGCTGTTTGTGAGGCGGATTTAGGCTTTACTGTATGTGCACGCAATGAAAAACATGCGCGAGTGCGCGAGCACAGGATAGTTTAAAATTGCTTGAATGTTTAAACTGGTAAAACTTAAAAAAGACGTAAAAATGATAAACGTTAGTTACGATGCAATGCTGGCCCGATTGTGCAAGTGAATCATGTCCCTCCCGACTCCTAAACACGAGTGTGTATATAAATAGTCTCGGTGTGTATCGACGCCTGCAGCGCTTGATGCTTGCCTTGTGCAGAGTGAGAAGACGCAGCACCGCGAGCCCTGAATATGGAAAAAATCGATTCGTGGCCGTTGAGAATCGATTTTGAATCGACCACATTTTAAAAAACGATTAATCGAAAAATCGTTTTTTTTTTTGCCCAGCCCTAATAACATCATAATAAAATATGCTGCATACTTCAAGATTAGACTATAAAGCGTTGCTGTTGTCATGAAGATTGTCATGCATGCTTCTTTTTTTCATGTCAGCCCTGCACAAGAATCACAATTAAAATGTGTGAAAGCAACTCTTTGCCACTTAAGCACTCAAAAATGAATCATAGTATAGTTTATTATTTATTAAGTGTTTGCATCTATTTGTTTTTATTTATTTTAATCATTAAAAAGTATGAACATGGTTAAAATGTGGCCAGCTGTGGAACAAGCAATTCAAAATGTATGAGTGGTTCACATTTAATAAATTTGACTTTTTGATGGTAAATATATGAACCTAGTTATTGTAGAACACATTTGTTTTTTCAGTACTATTGCATAAATCTCTTTCTTGCTTGTTTTATTTATGTATGACTGATATGAATATGCATCACATTTTCAAGTTTATTAGTTTGTTTATGTTAAAACTAATGCAAATGGATGGACATTTTATATGCAATTGAAATACTTAAATCCTATATATAGGCCTATTTTTTATTATTATTGTGTGCTGCCTTCATATGGCTTTAGACTAAATCAATTCAAGGAGTAAGTTAAGACAACTTGTTTTCACAGAATTGTGAAGGAACCAATATCAGAATTGGAACCAGAATCAATAAATACTTTGTAATTCCCATCCCATAGTTGTTGTGTTCTCAGCTATGTGGGATATGAAGCATCCTTTCTGTTATTGCAACCAGATATTATTTTACTCTGATTCGATAAACATTCACACAAACGCGCAATCCCTGTTTTCTCTTCTATCATTCTTTGTTGTCTTTTACGAGGTGAAGTGTGGGGTGATATTTTAAGATTGCGCCACACGTGAGATTGTGTGTTGCAGGTGTTTTGGGCAGCTGGGCTGTAGGGAGTCGTTTTGTGCTGTGGGAAAGACAAGAGAAAGAAAGGAGGAAAAGAAAAGCAGGAAGGGAAACAAAAATAAAACAAATGCATCATAGCAAGACTAATGTTTACTTGAGATGTGGGACTGCATGATTTTTCCAAAAGAAGGAAACTGCATGTTTCTACTAGAATTGCAAATATCCTGTGACATTTGTGCTGTGGACCTTCTGCTGTCATGCCTCCCCAAATATGTCTTCAACTCTCTTTCTCTCACACACACACACTCCTGTTGGGATTAATTGTTGTGGAGATGGATCAATAGAAGGATATGCTGATCTACCACTCCAGAGTCAGGTCTTGGCCCCTCTGTCTATTCATCACAGCTAATAAAGACGAGGGACACACACGGGGCAAGGTTAAAATGACCTCTGTCTCTGCACTATGAACTTTCATCCACAATACACATAGATCCATTACTACACTCTTTACACGCTGCACAAAACAGTGACTTAAATAAACAACTGAAGTATCTTTATCTTAGCAGATAGCTTAAATACACTCCATCAAAGAGGTTTAAAAGATACCTGAAAGATGAGTGTATTTATGTTTCTAAAGTAAAAAAGGGAAACATGACACCCAATAGACAGCAGTGAAGATGAGATTAAATGTGTAGGTGTAAAACAGAGATGAATCCACCAGTGAAGGTCACTTCTTGACAGTTCTGCTGTGTTCTGTATCTCCACGTTTGTGTTCCCTTAGTTTTCTGAGCCCCGGGCCATTTTCACGATTACCAACAGACATTTAGTTAAAGGCTGCTGTTTGTAATGAAAATATTTATTTTTATAAAATCTTCATTTTATTAGTTTTTTATTGTAAATTAGGTTCAATTTAATGCTTTCACTCTTATTTAGATGTTTTTGTCAGATATATTGTACGCATACCTGCCAACTTTTGAGTTTTGCTCGGCGTGAGATTTGTTGACGGGGGTGGGGGTGAGTGGGGGGGGGGGGCTGGGGGGGTAGAGACGAGTGAGATTTGTTGACGGGGGGGGGGGGGGTCTCGCTCGCGCAAGGTCTCTCGCTCGCTCTACGCGGTTTGGAGCACAATCTCTGTCTCGCATGCACGCTCGCTCTAGATAACGGGAGATTTTTAACGAATTTGCGGTATAACTAGTCGATCACGAGTGGCTCAACAGGTAGATATATAGATAAACTCATCTTCCAGGCATTTGACCGCCCGGGTTGACACTTCAGCGTGAGAAATCGGGAGTGTGGCGTGTGAGCGTGTGAAACCAATCAAATGCGGGTGTCTCACGGCCAATGCGTGAGAGTTGGCAGCTATGTGTACGTTCTAATTGCAGAATTAAATGACATAATTTGTTTAATATGTATGCAGATAGTCATCTTAAATTGATTCAATGTAGTTAGATACTTTTTTTAAATATGTTTTTAATTTTGTAGTGTTGCTAACTTAACAACTGTCATTCTAGGTACAATTAGGAGAGTGGGTGTATCAAACACACACACACACACACACACACACACGAGTTGCAGATGTATGTTGGTGATACCTCTTGACGGTGGTCCGTTCCTGGCTTCAGTACGAACCAGCGGATTAAGGCCTGCTGGGATTTAGAAACGCACTCAAGAAAAGAGGAGTTGCTCTCCACTCCGTACAACACCTTTTCCTCGACATTCCTCCCAAACACTGCCAAAGAGAGAGAGAGAGAGAGAGAGAGAGAGAGAGAGAGAGAGAGAGAGAGAGAGAGAGAGAGAGAGAGAGAGAGAGAGAGAGAGAGAGAGGGCGATCAGCATATCAAAAATACAATAAAGGTATTTTTTGGGTTAGCATTGTCCATTAGTTGAGCCCCACAGGACAATGCGGCATCTTAAAACAAAACATAGCTTTTAGTGCTTTTATGCTCTATATGCACACACACACACACACGTTGGGTTTCCATGTTTTATGTTTTATGGGGACTTTCCATAGACATTATGATTTTTTTTATACAGTGCATATTGTATATTCTATTCCCTAACCCTATACCTACCCAAAATAATAAACAGAAAGATATCGTACGCTGTTGTGGACGCTAATATAGTTATCTTTATAGTTATTGTTCTTGGTGTGAACGAGCCTTTAGTATGATTTATAAGCTGTTTTCCTCATGGGGACCAAAAATATTTCCACTCAAGGTCAAGGATTCCTGATGTTGCCATCTTTGTGGGGAAATTTTGTCCCCATAACATAGGGTTTCCCAGGACCACACACTCTCTCACACACACACACACACACACACACACACACCCTCGTATGCCAACTTACCATCCTCTGTGTCCCAACAATGGCTTGATGGATCTCCATGTTTGATGTCCTGCCTTCTGGCCCTCCTGTAAGCAGTGAGCACATGTGAAAAAAGCCTTTTATTTAGATTCTGATTTATTTTTATTACATTTCCGACTCCTTGAACAACCAAAACATTTAAAGAGCTAATACAGCTTGAGTTTCTAATATTTTTCTGTGTCCATTCATCAATATTCAAATGGAACTGCCACAGAGCTGCTGATGACTTCTACTCCGTGGAACTAGTTTAATCTCGATTGATGTTGCGTCATGACGTCAATTTACAGAAAGTCTTTTATCACTTTTAAGATATAGCCTTTTGAAATTAAGATGTCAAAATCGAACGTTTTAGGAAAAAACCTCTGGTGTCTAAAGGGTTAACCTGAATCTCCTCAGAGAATGATTCAATACCCTGAGATATTGAATATTGAGATATTGATTCTGTGGTCTCACGGTAAGTTGCGCTCAATCAGAGCAATGTATTCCCGGGACGAAAATTTGGGAGCAGACATCCTGCCGAAGCAGGGGCTGAGACCCGGTGAATGGAGGATCCACCCCGACACTGTGGAGCTAATTTGGAGGAAGTTCGGCCAAGCGGAAGTATATTTGTTCGCCTTTCACGAGAATACGCATTGTCCACTTTGGTTTTCCCTCACACATCCAGCTCCTCCGGAACTCGATGCCATGGTGCAGGCGTAGCCGAGGCGTCGCCTGTACGCATTTCCCCCGATCGCAACCAGAGGTTGTTGAGACCATCTTAAACTCTGAGCTCCCTCCACGAGGAAACTTTACGCTTTAACCCTCTGGGGTCGGCTATCGCGCCGGCGCGACAAGCTCACTTTTTTCCTTATCAGTGCAAAAGAGACTCAAATTACTCTGTTGATTTTGATCTTACATATAAGTGTTGTACATCATTAGATCCTGTTATGTGTCTATTTTTTTTGTGGATACTCACAATAAAAACAAAGTGTTCTGCTTTTTGTCAAATAAAGAAAAATAAACATGATGCGAATTTTGCCTTCTCTCTGTCAGTGAAGTTCATTCTGAAACGCGTCCGAAAATGAACTGTAACTAAGTAAATACTTGTCACACAGGTGAAATTTATGAAGCTGAAATTCTCTTCTTTTAAATGAAGTAATTTATATAAAAAAACAAAAATTATCAGTTTATGTAATCTGTATGAAAAGAGAGAGATGTCAGTCTTTTTCCTTTCAGCTAATTATAGCGTATTACGTGTTAATGTGACCACGCCCACTGAGAGCGCGCGCTATTCAAATGCAAATGTTGAGGCAAGCCATAAAAAAGCCCACATCAGCTGGATAAAACATCCAGTTTAATCATAATCTTGTACTTTACCTCGTCTTGCTGCGCTGTGAGGAATAATACTATCGTAATAATCCTGGAAAAGTTACCTCAGAAGTGCTGGTAGTTTAATTTCAAGGAGCGGATCCAGCTGAAGTAGTAAGTTATTTATTCTTAAGTGCTTTGTTCTAATCGCGTTATTGAATAGTGTCTGTAAACTGCACAAAGACTGTTTAAATATGAATTGCGTGTCTGTGTGTGAATGAATGAATGGCACAGACGCGCGCGCGATGTTGTTTACTACAGATGTACATCGCATCTGTGCGTTCATTCACTCTCGCTCCTACATTAGTAAACGTTATTTTTACATGAACACATCCAAACTATATTGCTATAGCCTACTGAGATTTGTTCTAATCACGATATAGAATAGTGTCTGTAATGACAACATTTTGTTGACTAGTTTTGGATAGATTATAAAGTTTTTACTCTAAAAAAGACATCAAATAAGCTTTTGTTAGACAGTTTCTGCTCATATGTTAAAATATATAGTATGTTTTGTCAAAAATAAACGAATCAACTGTTATTGTGTTTGTTCCAATGCAAGCTAGGCTATTTCAAAATAATGAATCCTTAACTTTGAAATATGATTGATAAAATGTATTAGCACACTTAAAAAAAAAATACTTTATAAGAGATTTATGGAAAACGACAATTTTCTTTTCAAGATGTTTCCAACTCTAACTTTGAACCAATTCTATAGAATGGCCCATATAACCTATTTGAACAGGATTTGTATCCAGGTATGACTAAAAATGTGCTTTTGACTTTCATTTATATTTTGATTATATATATATATATATATATATATATACAGGTCCTTCTAAAAAAATTAGCATATTGTGATAAAGTTCATTATTTTCCATAATGTAATGATAAAAATTAAACTTTCATATATTTTAGATTCATTGCATACCAACTGAAATATTTCAGGTCTTTTATTGTTTTAATACTGATGATTTTGGCATACAGCTCATGAAAACCCAAAATTCCTGTCTCAAAAAATTAGCATATCATGAAAAGGGTCTCTAAACGAGCTATTAACCTAATCATCTGAATCAACTAATTAACTCTAAACACCAGGAGAGCTGGCAGGCCAATTGAGCACAGTAATACCATGGTCAGTAAACCATTTACCATTGGTTTTGGCACTGTGAGCAGGTGCCAGGTCGTGCTGAAAAATGAAATCTTCATCTCCATAAAGCTTTTCAGCAGATGGAAGCATGAAGTGCTCCAAAATCTCCTGATAGCTAGCTGCATTGACCCTGCCCTTGATAAAACACAGTGCACCAACACCAGCAGCTGACATGGCACCCCAGACCATCACTGACTGTGGGTACTTGACACTGGACTTCAGGCATTTTGGCATTTCCTTCTCCCCAGTCTTCCTCCAGACTCTGGCACCTTGATTTCCGAATGACATGCAAAACTGAGCAACAGTCCAGTGCTGCTTCTCTGTAGCCCAGGTCAGGCGCTTCTGCCGCTGTTTCTGGTTCAAAAGTGGCTTGACCTGGAGAATGCGGCACCTGTAGCCCATTTCCTGCACACGCCTGTGCACGGTGGCTCTGGATGTTTCTACTCCAGACTCAGTCCACTGATTCCGCAGGTCCCCCAAGGTCTGGAATCGGTCCTTCTCCACAATCTTCCTCAGGGTCCGGTCACCTCTTCTCGTTGTGCAGCGTTTTTTGCCACACTTTTTCCTTCCCACAGACTTCCCACTGAGGTGCCTTGATACAGCACTCTGGGAACAGCCTATTTGTTCAGAAATTTCTTTCTGTCTTACCCTCTTGCTTGAGGGTGTCAATGATGGCCTTCTGGACAGCAGTCAGGTCGGCAGTCTTACCCATGATTGCGGTTTTGAGTAATTAAACAGGCTGGGAGTTTTTAAAAGCCTCAGGAATCTTTTGCAGGTGTTTAGAGTTAATTAGTTGATTCAGATGATTAGGTTAATAGCTCGTTTAGAGACCCTTTTCATGATATGCTAATTTTTTGAGACAGGAATTTGGGGTTTTCATGAGCTGTATGCCAAAATCATCAGTATTAAAACAATAAAAGACCTGAAATATTTCAGTTGGTGTGCAATGAATCTAAAATATATGAAAGTTTAATTTTTATCATTACATTATGGAAAATAATGAACTTTATCACAATATGCTAATTTTTTGAGAAGGACCTGTATGTGTGTGTGTGTGTGTGTGTGTGTGTGTTTGTGTGTGTGTGTGTGTGTGTGTGTGTGTGTGTGTGTGTGTGTGTGTGTGTGTGTGTGTGTGTGTGTGTGTGTGTGTATATATATATTGTCCTTCCATTCTTTCTCGTGTGACACCTGAATGAAAGGCTCATTATGCGGGTCTTTGTCTTCTCAGGTGAGAACCACCTACTTATTCATGAGGGGTTGTGCCGTTCACGCCCATTCGCATATTGCCTTTCCAAACTATTTTTTTTTTCACAATTCAAAACAATCTATTGTTTTATGTGAATGATTAGGCAGGATGATTTTCAGATCATTTTGAAGCAAAAACTCTAGGCGACAACGTCCATTAGTCAAAAGTCTTGTGGACACATATTTAGTATGTGTTTTGTGGCCTTATTTCATTTTTAGTTTTTTCAATAATCATGCATAAACAATATTCTCTCAAAAATACAAACATGTACATACATGTTGCTCACATATTATGGTAGCCCTGTTTGTGCTAATAAGAGTGTAATTTCACCTGTGCCATTAATACCGTAAAACTTCAAATAATAGCCGAGTCCCAAATAGACGCCTGTCTCTTTTACACGCCTGGTGTGGCTGCAGGTTTGGGTAAATAAAGGCCGGTCTCAAATAGAGGCCGGGTCTGTTTTTTAGTTTCGGGTTGTATTTAATCCTCTAAAATAGGGGTGCTCCGATCAGGATTTTTGGGGCCGATCACCGATCGCCGATTACTGGAAGCTGTATCACCCGATACCGATACCGATCACCGATTACAGGGTCTATTTGAAGACTTCTTTTTATCATGTAGCATTACTTATTAAACTATATTTAACAACAATGTACATTAAGTATTACATTTAAGAGAAGACGATGCATAATGAATTGACACCTGTGTATTTATTTGCAAGCAACATGTATTAACATAGCTGGCTATTGGGAGCAGCTTAGGGCTTGACATACAACTTTCCTGTAGAATATAAAATAAAATTAATAAAAGACAGAACATCTGAGTCTTTAAATTTAGCTTTAGACTACTTTAAACTAAAAACAGCAACAAAAAAGGCTATAGCCAAAATAATGTTTTGAGTCAGTCAGCCATCAGTTTTTCTAATACACTTAAAGGACCACAGGTAGTAGGCTAAAGTGCACAGCAACAAAAAAAAAAAAAAAAAAAAAACTAACAACTTCCATATCTGTATCTATAACTTTGCTTTTTTCTGGGATGCTTAGTCAGATTTTGTGGGCATTTAGAGAGGAAGAGAGAGGTAGAGAAACCTTTTGTTGTGTGTGTGTGTGTGTGTGTGTGTGTGTGTGTGTGTGTGTGTGTGTGTGTGTGTGTGTGTGTGTGTGTGTGTGTGTGTGTGTGTGAAGAACCCTTGCAAAATTATTTTAAACAGATTAAGAAAGCCACCACTACTGGTCACATCTATGGTTAGATTGATTTTTTTTTTTAGATCCAGTGAAGTCTGTCCCACCATGTACCTAATATAAATAAATAAAACATCTTCAGTTAACTAGCAGATCATTCATTTAGTTCGCTATTAAATAAGAAATCTAGCGCTAAAATGTGTTTTTAAACTCAAGCTGCGCGCTCGTTGCCGCGGCGATCAGTTGCATGGATACAGTGCTCTGTGCCTCGCGCAGGCTTCACACGCGCTACATTTTTGTCATTGGTTGTTGCGTTAAATCTTACCCAGATACAATAGTGCTATTTTCTGATTGGCTATTGTGTAGCTCGACGAACAACACCAGAGGAAACGCGCTTGATTCATGCCGGTTCCACAGTGAGAGCGGCGCGGCCAGAGTTTTGGCCGCTGCGGCATATTAAATATATTACAAATAGTTTTTCAGCGTGAGAAATACAATGTGTGGCGGGAGAGCGTGACAAAAGACCGAAATGAGAGACTGTCACACTCAATGCTTGACACTTGAGAGCCCTGTTGTAGAATTGCCAGACCGGTGAAGCCATTTTTACCAGGGCGTAAAAAAAATTGTCTCGCGAGTTTTGCGTCATCTGATCGGCTTTTCTGGATCGGCCTTTATAGAGACCGCCGATCACACATCCCAAAGCAATTATCGGCCGATTATGATCGGCGACCGATCAATCGGAGCACCCTTACTCTAAAACCGTCAGATCGTCCGCTTTTTGGCGGTGGCCAAAGCAAATTTTCGTCCCTCCAAAGCCTTTTTTGATCGGTGAGTGATGTAGAATGACTGCTGCGCCTGACAGGGCGCGTAACGAGCAGAGAGAGAGAGAGCGCCCCGGCCGCGCGCGCGCACTCTCACGTCTTCAAACAACACGAGCGCTGTCTTGCTCTCTCTCCCTCGCGCATATTAATCAAAATCAATTGACGCGATAGTAAAAGGTCGGAAGACCGCAGTTTCACGTGGAGCATTTGGAGATTTTTAGAGATTAGAGACAGGCCTATACACTCAATGAACAACATCTAAACACTAAATTATAAAGGCCTGTCTCATATAGACGCCTGTCTCAAATACAAGCCGGTGCAGTTCGACGATTTGGGAAAATAAAAGCCCGGGCTACTATTTGAAGTTTTACGGTATGTTTATAAGCAACTGAAAAAAGCACAAATGTCAGGGCATGTCAAAACATCTCAAGGACCCCAAAAACACCTTAGACCCCAGAGGGTTAAAGTGGAATGTGTTTACTTTATGGTGGAGAGAACGCCAGTTGGACCCAGTAAAAATGCCCAGTGGCTTCAGATCTGGAGTTCCTCCAAAGTCGTTTCTCTGATGGTCTTTCCCCTTCCACACTTAAGGTCTATGTGGCGGCCATAGCTACCTCCCACATGTCTTTAAGTGGTGGCCCTCTGGGGAAACACCAACTAATCGTTCGTTTCCTTCATGGTGCTCTGCGGATGAGGCCTGTCGTCCAAGCCAGGGTTCCTGTGTGGGACCTGGCAGTGGTTCTTGAAGGGTTATCCCTGGCACCCTTCGAACCCATTAACTAGGTGTCGGTGAAGTTTGTCTCTTTCAAAGTGGCCTTCCTGCTAACCATTACGTCCCTCAAAAAAGTGGGGGACTTGCAGGCTTTATTTGTTTCTCCCTCTTGCCTCGAGTTCGCTCCTGGGAGGGTAAAGGCTATTCTCTACCCTAGGCGGGGTTACGTGCCCAATGTGCCATCTAATGTGGCACAGTCAGTTATCCTGCGGCCTTTTATCCTCCAGCACATGTGTAGGCTGATCAGGAAAGTCTACACCTACTATGCCCTGTCCGGGCCTAGGAGGCCTACGTACGTAGGTCCTCAGGTTGGAGGAAGTCGGACCAGCTGTTAGTGTGCTTTGGGTCACTTAAGAAGGGTTCCCCTGCCTCTAAGCAGACGATTACCAGCTGGGTTGTGGAGGCTATTTCTTCAGCATACGAGGCGCACTGTCTGCCCTTGGCTCTCCTGATAAGAGCCCACTCGACTAGAGGAGTGGCTTCCTCCAAAGCCCTGCTATCAGGGGTTTCCCTTCAAGAGGTCTGTGATGCTGCTGGCTGGGCCTCCCCGCACACCATCATCAGATACTGTAGCTTGAATCTGCCTTCCATGCCAGGTTCTCAAGTCCTCTCGTCCTGAGCTGTGCCTGACAAGCTTCACACCAAGACAGGCACTAGTCAGTGTGGCGCTGTGGGTATTTTGTTCCCCAAAGTGTCGTCTTCAACGCAGCACGAGTTCCCTTGAAAGGGAACGTCTCTGGTTACAACTGTAACTCTTGTTCCCTGAGAAGGGAATGAGACGCTGCGTCGCTTTGCCACACCTCCTGAGTGCCTGAGAATGACTTGCTCTGACCTATTAGAAGCTAACACTGTTGTGTTCTGGTGTCCCTTTGTAGCTTCCTTGTACATTGTCACGTGACGTCATGACGCAACACCAATCGAGATTGCACTAGTTCCACACATGCTTCAGACACTATCACGCTGAATACGTTCCCCAAAGTGCCATCTTCAACGCAGTGTTTCGTTCCCTTGGCAGGGAACAAGGGTTACAGTCTTAACCCGATAAGTTTTTATCTTGTAACAAGTTCAGAAAATAACGTTAGAATAATGACACTAACATTTAGCCTGACAACATCTCATCTGCAAGCAGATACTGAATCAGGACAATGCATATTTCTCATGCACTCTTTACTTAAACTGCATCTAATAGAAGTGTCATCAGATTTCATGCGCATTTTTCAAAATAAAGGTCTTGCATCAGATAAAAATATAGAATGTTTCTTAGACTACACACTCTGTGACACACTTTTGGGTCAACGACCCACCAGTTGAGAAACTCTGTTGTAAATAATATAACCAAGGTAACATCTGTGGTATTACTTTATCTGAAAAAAGTTAAAAGTGACAATCAACAGAGCTTACATACTAGACCTGGAAAAGTCATGTAAATGTATAAATCTTATTACTCTTTTGAAGTGTTTACATTTTTCATGTAATGCCAAGCTAAAAATATTTTATCCATTATAAATTGTGTGAATTATATATTTTTTAAAAATCTTTATCTAGTAAATCCTGAATTTAAAGCGTCATGGGACCTTTACAAGTTGTTGTGGATATCATGTAGTCAAAAAGTTTGAGAACCACTGGAATTAATTAATAAATTTAATGAATTAATTAGAGCTGTCAGTTAAACGCGTTATTAACGGCGTTAACGCAAACCCATTTTAACGGCGTTAATTTTTTTATCGCGCGATTAACGGTCTTTTTGGCCTAGCAAACTTTGTAGTTTTTTTCACATGCTTTTGCAACAGGACGCAGCATGCGCGGCGCTGCGCTATGAAACCCATTCATTTCAATGGGTTGCGAGGACGTTTTGCTGCTTCGTCGACCAAAGCGCAAGCGGATCTAGCTAGACCGGAAACAAAACAACAGGCACGCCGCACACACTCGTTTGGGCTTGCGAGCCGACCAAAAAGCTGGTTAACGTAACGTTTTGATTGGATGACGAGCGCGAGACGCCGAAATGGATGCCAATAAGATTCTGAATTGAAAGTTTACTTGTAAAAAGTTGCCAAATGGTTCCATTGACAAGACCAAAGTGATCTGTGTGTTTTGTTGTTGTGAACTGAGCTATCATCATCGCAGCACGTCCAGTCTGAAATACCACTTGATGATGGCCAAGCACACACACACACACACACAGCTGATGCAAATTTTCCGCCCCCTCGTCAATATACGGGACCTCGTCAGTATTTCTTTCACCCTTTTATTGATGGACAGTGTTACATTGTGTGAGAGATTATTTGCTCCAAGTGAGAATGTTAGTGTGAAATTGAGCACAGTATTGTCAATGTTGTTTTCAATAAAAAACATTTCCACAAAGCAAGCCGATCCACTTTTCCATGTAGATAAGAGGATTAAAATGAGAAAAAATAATGTGACAAAAAGAAATCAAGAGACATTTAGAATAGATAAAAATGTGAGATTAATTGTGATTAATCGCGAGTTAACTATGACAATAATGCGATTAATCGCGATTAAATATTTTAATCGTTTGACAGCACTAGAATTAATTGATCATAAATTAAGGGTTTGAGATCAGTTACCTCAATACCCATGCAAGCATAACTGGCTAATTTTTGTTTAATCTTAAATTTAATCTTCAGAGCAAGAAAATAGACAACTGTCATGTATTTTATTTAATTTCAAACACAAAATCAGTACTGCCACCATTTTTATGAAAACACCCTCAACTCTCTCCGTAATACAACAAACTTCGATGACAGATATGAATCTTAATGAAGCCACAAAGTGTTTTTCAAACAGAGACATCTGACAGCCAAACAATCTCCAAAACAGACTAAAATTCCTCTCTCTGTGTGTCTCCTTCTTTCTCTCTCTTTCTCTCTCTCTCTCTCTCTCTCTCTCTCTCTCTCTCTCTCTCTCTCTCTCTCTCTCTCTCTCTCTCTCTCTCGCTCTCTCTCTCGCTCTCTCGCTCTCTCGCTCTGCAGGACTGACCTGGCCTCCTTGCGGCAGTGGCGGACCGGAGAGCCGGGGAGAGAAAGGGCAAGAAAACTTCTATGGCAGCTCACATACATCATCTCAACAACAAAGCAACTTTAATCAATTTGCCTGTCCAGTCCAGTCCCACTACACCCTATGGCACAGGAAAAATCAAATATTTATCATTTTCTTCTCTGTGCTGAACTCCAGGAAACAACTCACCCAGGAGAAGTAGGTCAGAAAGAGGGCACCACAAAGCCCTCTCTCTCTTTTAATTTTCTGCTATCCCAAACACCAGAGCACCAAACTGCGCACGGTGCACATCTCAGGGATATCATAGGATACATGTGGCGTTGCATTGTTGTGTGTGCCGATAAGAAGACCGTTAAACAGAAGTGCTGACTGCGTGAATCAGTATCAAGGCTTTGCATCGACTCTTCTTTGGGACAATGACTTTATCGGCTCATGTGCATGTGTGTTTGTGTGTTACCTCTTAGAGGCTGGAATGTATCTGGAGCACTGGATGCCGTCCCAAGCGCAGTAGGGGTCTCTAGCCAGGCAGCATTCTGCACAGCCCTGCCCATAAATATGGCACCTGTGCAGGGACACCTGCACTAACCCGTCGCTTCCTCCAACAAACAGCTGCTGCTGTACACACACATACAAAGTAATAAACCAGGTGCAATGACAAAAAAAGTGCTTACTGGAGCAATCTCTCTAATAGAGTTATCAGTAAATGTCATTCGTTTGCAGTGTCTATTTTGGTCCAACAAACTCTAAAAAAGAAGCACGTGTACATGTGACGAAACTAACCCTAAACACAACAACAATAAGCACAATAAAAGTTGTGGTGCTCTTGCTTTTCTTGCACAAGTCTGAAAATAAACAGGCAGTCAGAGTAGACCTTCCCATATAACACCCTTGTAAATGCAAATGCTGTTCAGGATCTTTTTTGAAACCATTTAATATTATCGGTACTCTATTATCCTCTGCTATTAAAATAAAAAAAGGCCATAAAAATAAACAGTTACAAAAACAATTGGCCAAGTGTCCCACTGATGTAGCCATACGGTTCTATCTTTGTGCAGAGAAAGGATAAAAGCTTTTGGGCGAACTCTTAACCTAACCATGAGCTCCAAAAAATAATAGGATATAATTAGACAAATGGGAGTATAAAGGAAAAATGAAAGGAACGGCACAAGAACAGAAGAAACAGACTTATCCGCAAGACTTTGATAACCCAGAACAAAACAATGGAGGTCCTAACAAATCTATTTTGAGACTGAGACTTCCGGTAGCTAAAATATGACAAATAGTCCTGTGGAACCTCTGAGATTAAAACACCTTACTAATGAATCCTGTCAGTCATTTCTTTATGAAAAAGTTTATTTATTTAATTTATGAGTTATTTATTTTCTTCAATTATTCATTCCCAAGCTAAAGGTTTAGTTTACTAGAACCAAGTTTAAACTTCTGTTCTTACCTGCTTTGAGGAGATTTCCATGTTGAGGATGGGTGAGGGATTCTGAGAGGAAAAAAATAAAGACATTACCAGGTGAACTTGTTTTGTTTATTAATTATCATTCATCCATAAATGCTTCATATTTGAATGGTTGTGACTTTTACCTTGAACACCTGAAGCTCCTCTAAGATGATCTGCTCTGTGGACCAGTTTTCTTGACTGATGCTGACAACCTTCAAAACTGATCCCATATCTGTACAGACAAACATGCACACATTTGTCTCTTAAATAGATAAGCTCTACTGCCATCTGCTGGTTGATCGAAATAAAAGCTACTTTTATTTATTTATTTATTTTCAACTTTTGCAGCTTATGGAGGGTCAAGTGTTTAGTGCATTTCAAACCTTTTCTTCATATTTAAAGATTATAGGTATTTAGAACAAGCCTATGTTTGGCAAAATGTGGTCATTAAAATCTTTTAAAATACCAAAATAATATAAACCATCACAGACATCCCAAGTCTCCCGGAAGTTACGGGAGTCTCCCGCATATTGATAGCGGCTTCCTGATGCCCCAAATTAGTTAAAATCTCCCGGAATGGGAGGCGGTGGTATTCGGGATACCTCCCTGAAATTACTTTTTGCAGGTTGGGATGTCTGCCATCATATTTGGTTGTTACATATCATACCTGTGCCCAAGAACATAACAGCATACTGTCCATCCTCAGCTGCCACACGGTCCACTACAATCCGAGTGAGCCGGAACTCTGTATTGATACGAGTGAAAATTGGTCGGCCCGTCATTGGGTGCACGGAGCGGTACATGAGCGGGTGCAATCGTATAAAACTGATGACTTCATCTGGAAAGTCTTTAGTCGTTTTTATATGAGGATCATATGTCCGACTGGGGCACTACAAAGAAAATAAAATTTATAGTTATACATTTAGTATATATAACAGCATAAATTGCTGGAAGTAATAACAAATATGCACTCATATGAAGTGATGAAACTGCCTTTAGTATAATCATGAATGTTGTGTTTGTGCAACAGTGTTTTGAAATGTAAGGTAAAAGGTATATATTGTGTTATGTCTCCCTCTAGCGGTAATGTATAAAACTCCTGTGTAAAAAGTGTCAATGACTGAAAGGGGGTTAAAGAGAGAGAGAGAGAGAGAGAGAGAGAGAGAGAGAGAGAGAGAGAGAGAGAGAGAGAGAGAGAGAGAGAGAGAGAGAGAGAGAGAGAGAGAGAGAGAGAGAGAGAGAGAGAGAGAGAATACAATTGTAAGAGTGTTACTAACAGTGCCCGGTCGTGGGTAGGGTATTCTGCCTTCATATTCCACCCAGCGATGGTCTGGTCCCTCTTTATGAGCATACGGTCCATTAAACACTGCACGGATATCTTCCATTTTATAGACACACACCGCGGATCCTTTAAAGATAGAACTGACCCCCAAAAAAACAAGTTACAAAAACTAAAGAAGCTGAATGCCACAGTAAAAAAGAATTTCACATTTTAAATGGGCAACTTTATACAAATTACCATTCTTTTAATTGCCTTGTTAATCTATAAAATATATTTTAGCTCATTTTATAGCACATCAACGAGTTCCAAAATGGATTTCAAGCTACAGTACCCAGACCAAAAGCAATGAAATATTAATACTCTCACTGTACAGTAGGAGCTGGTTCTCACCTGGTGGTGGTGAACACTCCGTACACCATTGGATTTCTCTCATCTCTGCTAGGGAGGAGAAAGATGTCCTCTGTAACACACATACAAATACACGATGAACATCTTTTTAAATGCCAAGAAGTATGATACAACTGAAATATGTGTTTGTGAGAGGGAGTAGGAACAGAAAACACATCACTCACGGAGCTCATCAAAGTGTGTGTCCACTCCATCTGGTCCAGGAATGGAGCACACAAGTCTTGCTTTGAGGAATGTTGTCCACTTGTTGGTAAGACTTCTCAAACCCCCAACATCATTCTGCAAGCAAACACATGCATATAGGGTCGTTAAATGTTGTTGTTATGAAAGCACATGTTTATAATTTAAATCTTTAGTTTAGTTACAGTATAGGCTTTACAATAAAAATGTAAAACCAGCATTTGCTTCTGATTAGAGCAGCTTATTTAATTACCACACAACAATCACCACAAACCCCTCAGGTACACACAGACTTAAGAGGCACACAAACACACACACAAAAGAGACAGACAAAGAAAAAGAGTTCAAGAAATCGAGAAGAGCGAGTGAGGCGAGTTTATAATGGGAATATAACGACCCTCTCCATGAACACTCCAAGAGCAGGTTTACGTCTTTAGATGCACAATAGAGCACTGAGAGGTCTTAGAACGAGAAGACATGCTGACTGAGAACACTTAAATTAATCTCCTCATTATAGCCAGAAGGGTTTAATCAAAGGACTCCAATGATTTCACCTACACCCACTTAAAGCAGCAAACATATTCATCCTCTGCCATTATCCCTGTTGAATAACACACACACTTGAGAAAAAGGGGGGGCGAAGACCTAAAAGAGGTTTAGGAGTGGCGTTTTCCAAATTCTTTAATCTTCAAAGATGCCCTCTCTAGTGTTAGGCCAGTTATCCAGTAAGGAATCTGGCCTCGGATAGCTTTACAGCTCACTCCTTAAGCTATAAAAACCCGCCCGCTTCGAAACAAGAATTTTGCAATAGAACTTGGAATTTTTATAGCATACAGCCCGGGAGGATGAGTCTACAGCATTAAGGAAACTGCTTTAAATCATTGACTTTTTATACTTGCAGGTTGACAGCTGACTTGCACGGACAATTGCTTAAAATCACTACACAGCTCTCTACAATATTTGATTTTTATTGGTCAATTGAAGCACTAAGCACTATTAAAACAGTTTTCAACATATACTCAGAAAAAGAAGAATTGGAGAATTTTCATCAAGGCTGCATTTATTTGACCAAAATAACCTAAAAAAAAGTAATACTGTAAAATATTACTACAATTAATTTTTGTTATATTTTAATTACATTTAAATATATATATATATATATATAAATGTATCTTGTTGCTCATTGTTTGTATATATATATATTAAATGTCTGGGTATATATATAAAGTACCCAGACCAAAAGCAATATTTCATTGTTTTTTGGTCTAGGTACTGTAGCATGACATCCATTCTGAAACTTGAACTTTCAGCAGATTGAAAAACAAACAAAAACAAAAGCAAAAAAAAAAAAAAAATACTTATCCCAATCTTTTGAACAATAGCGTCCATGTATCAGTTCTGGTTTCATGCCTATTGTATCACTCTCTGTGGTCTCTCATATATATGATCTTCTCTCATATAATTCAATAATTTTAACTCAAAATAATATTTCCATTTATTTTGGTAAGCAGCTGTAAACAGTATGATGTACAGTCAGTTAGTTATTCTATTTTCAGTCTATTTTACAGTAATATATTTTGATTATGATCAACTGACTATACATTCTTTTCTTCATAAACTAAATAAAAAACAGAATAAGAGAAATTATAGCGTATAGCGTATATACGTGTTTTTACCAAGTTTTTCTTTACCTTGCATGGGTACATGAGAGTAATTAAGCTCAAAACAATGAAATGAAATTAAACTTTGTTCAGGATTTGACACCCAGGATCACAAACTGCAAAATTACTTCCATATTCTGTATTCTTTGATGACGACCTTGTGGAAGGGATTCAATTGCTCACTTTCTTTAGAAATGACCTTGGACTTGACAATGGAGTTCACTTCCCACAGTGCCCTTTCAAGGGAGTAAAAAAGACGAATTTGTGGTCAGTGTGATGTTTGAGCGATCGTTCCCCATCGTCTATTTCAGTTGACATCAAATCTAACTTTGACTTCTTTATGGATGGTATTAGCGAAATGCCCCCAGCCTTCGTAGTGAACTGGTGTTAAGGGAGGGATGGGTGGAACACAATGGAGTCACTTAGCACACTTATTTCCCTACACCAGGGACTTCCACTGTCATCATGAGCAACGACTTCGGCAGCAATTACATGACCAGACCTCTGCTATGATTTCCCCCGTCTGACAACAGTGGTTTGGTCCGCTTTCAGCAGATCACATCAAGGGGGACGTACCAGGAAGCCTCCCCTCCCAGGGGAAGCACATTTCATCTCATGTGCTGTGGAAGGATCAGAGAGATGAGGTGAGTTTGTATCTGATCAGGCAGCGTGAGGACAGAACTTACCCGGCAGATCCGGGCGACGCGAGACAGCACACTCTTGTCTGCAATGCTCCCATCACGGGATGCCTCACGGAAAAAGAAGTAAATCTTGTCATCGTCAGGGTTGTAGGTGTCCGCGATGGGATGGGCGGAAATAAACTTGCCCTCTGTGGACAAGAGAGAGAAAAGCTGGTCAGCTTGATATATGTGATACTAATCCAACAATCCCTTTATAACACTTCTAAGAAAGTGTGGAAGCCTATTAAAACAGCAAAGACCCTGTTTTTTATCCACTGTTTGTGTGTGAGAGAGAGTATAAAGACAAAACTGTATCCTACTGTTTAGTGTAGGCATTTCCTTTTGGACTCACAGCAGACCGATAATGAGTGTTTAGGGTTGGAAAATAGACTGTGTGGGTTTAAACTCCATTAAATTGCATCAGCCACAAGAAGAGCTCTAACATTCAGAAGGAAAATCAAAGGTGAAAGAGAGACAGTCATTAACTCAATGACTAGACAAAGACTGTATTATATTGGACTCTCTGCATATGACTAAGACTCAGAGAGGAGAGAAGGGGAAAGTGCCAGCAGCTGGTAACTCAGACTAACTTAGAGTAAGTCTAAAGGATTGGAGCGTTAAGACTCTCCAAGCAGCAAGATATACTGGGCTTGTGTGTTTGGCCAAAAGTATGTTTTTTTATATACACCAATCAAAGGTTTTGATCAAAAGTGACAGTAAAGAAATGTATAATATTACAAAATATTTATTTTTCAAATAAATTCTGTTCTTTTGAGCTTTCTTTTATTTAAAAAATCCTGAGAAAATGATCCACAAAATGATTAAAGAGCAACTGTTTTCATTGATAATATTAAAAAATATGACTTGAGCAGCAAATCAGCATGTTAGATTCATTTGTGAAGGATCATGTGACACTGAAGACTACATCCAGCTTCACCATCACAGGAATACATTACATATCCACATATAACCAAGTAGAAAACCGTTATTTTAAACTCTTATAATATTTCACAATATTAAAGTTTTACTGTATTTTTGATCAAATAAATTCAGCCTTGGTGAGACTTCTTCTGAAAGCCCACATTTACAGATCAACGCCTATTTAGTATTCTGCATCATAAAAAAGTCAACCTAAAAAATTCTGTAAGATGTGCCTGTATGTTATTCACTGAGTGTAAGCTGGACTGGTGGGGAAAGCTGACCGTTGATCCAGTAGTCCTCAGAGATGTCTGTGCGAATGTACTGCTGGTCAGGGGGCGGGCCAAGAGAGCGGCTAAACGTGCTGTCCTTGCCCAGGAAATCAGACGCTGTGCCAGCGTATAGATACCGATCTGAAAACAAAGAAAGGAAGCATCTCAGCGTAAACATTGAGCTGTAGTCAGTCAGGCTGCAGGCACTGTTACAACAGCTGACCATCAGCCATCAGCATCATGTTCTCTTTTCCTCACACACGTGATATGCAAGCCCTGTGATCTAAAGTTCTAAACACAAGTTACCATCTCTGCAGTATCCATGACAACCAAGAAGGGTTTATGGATTATGTTTTTAGAATAACTCGGTGATTTCTCTCATCATCATTATCATTTGGTGTTTGGGCCTCCACCCTACTTCTTTCTATGCATGTGGTTTGGAGCACAGAATGTGCTCTGTGTTCTCCCAGAGTTGTTCCCGGTTGATTATGCCTGTCAGTGTAAATAAACGAACACACTCAACCACACTGTTGAAAGACTTCACCCAAAAGTGAAAATTCTCATTTGCATTCATTACTTTAGATTCGATTACTACAGTAGAGATAAATATTTTCTTCTTAAATGTTCTATTTCTGGATGACTTTTATGATTTTTTGGGCCTTTTTGGAGCATGTCACAATTTGGTTTTGTACTCATAATTTTCACTTTTGAGTAAACTATTCATTTAAAACTTTCCTAATGCAGGCCTTCTCAGGAAGGAAGGTTCTGTAATGGTGAATGGCTGTAATTAATCAAACTTTGCTCAGCTGGAACAATTCAGGCTTCAATACAACCCATAAAAATGGAACACAAGAAAAAAATGGACATTTTAGAAAGTTTACAGCTGGTACTTTTGACAGGGTGTGACATTTCTCCACAGTACTCCACTGGAAACATAAGGGTCGGTTTAACTTGAAGAAAAAAACGTCTGACAGACAGAACAGACGAACCAGATTTTTCTTGGGTGAAAGCCGATCACGTGTAAAGAGTAAAAAGCTCTTTACATCAGGTTTGTGTTTAAGAGAAGGAAGATCTGATTCAGTCTCACCTGTGAGTACTGAAGCAAAAGGCTGGTGAGGATCAAAAGGACATTTCATTCGGCCAGATTCCACAGTGTTGCTGTGGAGGTGCAGCCAGCTGTCCTGTGATCATAGTACACAAAACACACATTATTATTAGTTACCATACAGGAGAAATTACTTAATAAAACTTTAAAACTCTTTCAAGAATACTAGTCAATCAAAAAGAAAATCTGAACAAACTCAATATACTCTGTGTGGAAGCAATCATAATTTAATTTCTTGCCTCTTTGTGACCTTTGACCTCTAAGAAAGCACAGGTGGGGTGGAAGGCTCCAGTGCCACAGGCATAGACATGGGTTCGGTTATAGCTGTGCAAAACTCTTATGAAATTAGCACATTCAGTCTGAGGTAGAAAGAGAAAAAAAGAAATTATGAGCATGTGCAGTGTCCTCAAAAAGTATTTGGATATTTAAATCACACATAAAAATGTATTAATGTCATTGCAATAAATTGCAACATGTCTACTTAAGTGGTCTTTAAAAATTATTCTTGTGATATCTTTCTTAATAAAGCAAAACTTTTCACAAAACGTTTAGTTTAGAATGATAAAACGAACCATAGCAATCAATATTAATGTCTAAAATTATCTATGCCACCTGTTTCTGATACAAATAACAATAACATTCATACACTGTATAAATATCTAAGTGTAAGTAAGCAAGTATCTAAATACTAATATATAAATATACAGTATGTGTATATATATATATATATATATATAAATTCTTTGGTAAATAGAAAGTTCAAAACAGCATTTTATATATATATATATAAATCTTTTGTAACATTGTGAGAGTTTAAATGTCACATTGGATCAGTTTAATGTATCCTTGCATAATAAAAGTATTATTTTCTTCCTTTAAAAAATCATTTGATTCAGAGAAGACTGTCTGTATGTTGAAATGTTCATTTAGCAGACATATATTCTGACTGATACTTACAAGAGGGTTTTTGCCAGCAAGCATACACATATCCATCCTGTCTCTTGGAGCTGGCCAACTCAGCTGCAAGTGAGAAACACACATGTTGGGTCCAGGACTTTCCATTGACATAATGATGTTTATACTGTACAAATTGTAGATTCTACCCCTAACCCTAAACCGCTAAACACAAACTTTACAGAAAACTTTCTGCATTTTTACATTTTCAAAAACAAAAAGCTAGTTTCCTCATGGGGACCAAAAAAAAAAAGTCACCACAAGCTAAAAAATGTCTGGTAATATCCTTGTGGGGACATTTGGTCCCAATAACATTGACCACACACACACACAGTAAATTCAACTAAAAGTAACAGCAAATACCTTACAACTTAAATAGTCAGAGTAAGTGTTTACAATTGTCTCTCACGGCATTGTTACAGAAAAGTATATCAACCATGAAGTGTAAACCATACAAAAATTCTGTTTCAGAATGAGATCATGTCATGACTCAATGTAAGATTTTAAACAGAGTGTAATCCATTGTGTATTTAACAGATGAAAAGCTGCACACATGAAATACTGTACAAACATGGGTCCTGGGTTAAGCTTACTAGAGGGAGGATCACGTTCAGATAAAGAGTGATGAAGGGGCTTCTGGCCTTGTCTCTGCACACGTATTATAAAAGCTTAAACGCTTAGCATACACAGGGCTGACCTTTGACCTTGACCTCCAAGAGCCGTCTCTACATGTAATATGCAATCCATGATTACACATGCTCGTGAGACGACTTTACATGACGGCGCTTTGAAGATTGTCGTGCCTACCACAAACTGACAAAGGGGCTCAATACGTACCCTCCACCATACAAATGAAGAAAAAAATCTACACGCATGTGTCATAAACGCACACACATGCATGTCTTATGTAAACATGCATGTTTATATATGAAAGTAAAGCATTAGGTGCCTATATGGCCAAAGAAGTTATATTTTTTCTATATATTGCCCAAAACATGCATTTTATATAATATGTATAATATATAACAAAATGTACTTTAAGGGACAAAAAGTGCAGTCCCAATCTTTAAAAAAACTAAAAATTGGGTAATGCAAAATGTATTTTATAAAATATATGTTGGACAATTTTAAATATATTTAGATTGAAATACATGGGCAAAAAATATAAGTAACTAAAACTTGTGAAAAATATATTTATGTAAATATATTTCAAAATCTATATTAGCAATACATTGTTGGTATACTTTGAAATACACTAAAATATATATCAGAAAATATTTTGCTCTATGGGTGTCTTTACATGTATGTGAGAAAGAGAAAAAAAAAATTGTGTGCGTGTGTGAGGGTGAATGTGATGTGGTCTTGTCATGGGACCACTGTGGAGACAGTGATTGACAGGTGTGATCGTGGTAGGGTCAGCTCAGTATCTCTGTAGGGTGATGCTATGGGAATATCTAGAAGTGACAGTGAAATAACTGTGAGAACTTGTTGGAGTGAAAGTATAAAGAAAGTCTAAAGGACCTCTTATGGCAGAGACACACATAAATACACTCGAACACCTACTACCATAAATGAATTCATAAACTAAACATATCCAGAGACTCTCATACCATGCTATCAAGCATTTTGTGAGATTAGAAAGGTATAAACAGTTTTGATTTGTACTTAGTTTAACCCAGATTATGTTGTCCAAGTACAGGAGTGTAACCAGTCGACAAGTCAAAAGTTTTAAAACGAAAAATGAAAAATGCATTTGTTCTCACAATAAAAACATGCACCTGTTTGGCATAAAATGTATAAGTGATTCTGACTAACAAATGCACATCCACATAGTACTGTCTAGTTTACAAACACTCACTCAAACTCAATGAACGGACCCTTGCACCAGTGCCACCGTCACCCGATGGCCTTGAGAATAATAATATGCATTTAAATGGGTAAATATAGGAGGATTATTAATGGCAAAATCATTAAATGTGACACAGTTCCTGCTACCAGCTGGTGGCGCTATGACTATAACTGAATATTGCCATGTAGATGTCTTCAGGCAAGGACTCTTATCATAAGTGAAGTTTGAGGCAGATTGGACATTGTATGTTTGAGTTAAAACAACTTCCTGTTTCAAGGCATTAATAGCATGCTTTAACACTTGTGTTGCTAACATGTTTTAACATGTTTCTAGGATGTTGCTAGTATGTTTAACACTTGGCATATTGTAATATAAAGCTAGGAGTGCATGATGTCTTCAGGCCAGGGGCCTGATGTATAGACGTTGCGTACGCACAAAAGAGGTGGGATGTCTGCAGATGTGATGCCATTCTGAATTGCAAAAGAATAGGATGCAGGAGAAGAAAGTTCAACATTCTTACTTCAGCAATAAAAACAAAACAAATGTGATTTTTTTTCTTATTCGTATGGTTGAACTGGATCATCGAAGGTTTGCAGCAAAGACAATGTAACATATTATCGCAGGTTTGTGTGATATTCTGAGTTTGCATTTCACTGTTTTTATTCATTTTAAGGAAAGCTGTGTCAGGGTTTGGGTTGGGGAAAGTTGCGAGGGCTCAAGTGCAGAACAATGGGTATTTATTAAGTAGTAAAATATAACAAAAACTACCCCGTGGGGGAAACCAAGACAGGAATCAAGACTTCAACTAGACTTGGGATGAACACGAAACAAGAGGCGACGACAGACAAGGATAGACGACGAACCAGCACAGGACCGAAAACACAAGGAGAATAAATAGGGAGAGCAAACAAAGCAGGTAACAAGGGAGGACAGGTGGGGCAAATGAATCAATAATCTGTTAACAAGATGGGAGGGGCTAAACATTTGACAGGAGAGCACATGGCCAGTAAAACAAATCACAAGCCATGTGCTCACACAAAACGAGACATGAACACGCAGCCAATGAAAACACTCATAAGCCACGTGTTCACACAAAACATGACAACATGAAGGCACACAGCTAGTGAAAACACAAGCTGAGTGCTACACAGCACATGACACGCAGACAGAAGAGCTTACGGTCCGAGCGAACTCAAAACCGCACACTCACACGACAAGACAGAGCGCACGAGAATGAGCGAAAGCTCACGACAGAATACAAACACACAGAGCATGAATGTCCGAATCCCGACACAGAACCGAAACCAAACTAGACTGACGTGCCGGGATCCAAACACCACGGCCCGCACATGTAACAAGGCATACAGACAAGAGAGCGCACGGCTCGAGAACGCTCGAAGCCGCGCGCCCACACAAAGACATGACAAAACAGGAGTGTCAGAGCTCTGTCACAAAACGAAGAAATAAACTAGACAGAAGTGACAAAACCCTGACATACTGAATCTGTTTGGGTTTTTTTTTTGCAAGTGACATGAGTAAATGCATTCTCACATCTATTATAAAACACAATGTAAAGCTGCTTTTCCAAATGAATGTCAACCAGTCTGAGAGTGAGTGAATTCTCTTCTAAATGATTCTATGGAAAAAATTTGCTACGTTCTGCCCCAGACCACACATAGTGTAAAGTATTTACGTGCCTTTTCTGAAACCTGATTCTGCATGTCTGCAGGTGTTAGCCCTGTAAGGTGTGTGTTTACCTTTTTGGGGTGTTTATTGATGTTGTCTGGGTCCAGTAGGTAAATGTGGTCTTTGGCTCCCAGCAGTAATCGGCTTCTCTCCTCATCCAAAAGTACTGTCTGAAACTGCTGTCCGTGGCTGGAACCCACAAATGGCACCACACTTTGAGAATGGATCAGCTCTGGAGAAGTCAAATGAGGGTCATCAATAAAAAAATACACATACATAAACACAAAGTATGTAGTGTATGCACAAACAGATTCAGGTCGATGACTGAAGCTTTTCTAATGCAAGTTTATTTAAAAAAATATATATAAAAATGTATAAAAATCCAAAAAGGTCTTGTTAATATTTAAGTAGCACTAAAATGAATTGGCCTACTTTGCTTAAATCTCCAAGAAAAAATGATATAAATGATCTCACATGTGCCTCTAGAATTTTAGAAGGTATCTCAACAATGTCTCAAACTGTGCTCAAGTCTGCAGTCAGAAGAGATTAAAATATTAACTCAAACATTTCTCAACAAATTCTTGTTTAAGACTACTGTAAATTATCTGAATCAGGCTATAAACATTAAATTAACGTGTAAGTGTCATAAAAGCCCTCATAAAACACGAAAACCCAACATGTGAGTGTTTGTGTGTGTGTGTTTGTGTAAGCATTGAGTGTAGCAATAGATCTAAAATGTTACCATCTCACACCTATTGCACCCACCCCACCCCAATCTCTCATTTTTCTAATGTACTGAGAGGCTCTATTATCTCTATATTCAGTATGATCTACAGTAACGATAACCTCAGGGCTGTCTGTCATCTATGTGTTCAGATTCCATCTTGATAAAATGTTATCCTCTATTTAGCATCCGCCCATTTACAAAACCTCACTTCACCTGCCAAACATTAACCAAGAGCCTATTCTATAAGAATTCAGCTGGATCGAATTGCTCCACCTATCAATTCTCACACGTCAGCACTGAGGCAGATAAGCTCAGTGGTTCATTTGCAGTATATTTCATATTTCACCTCTTGTGCTCTCTGGAGGAGCAATTACACATACTGTTATTCTTGCAGAAGAATCCTGGTCAACAGCTTAGACAGCTGAGAAGCAGTTGAGATTGGCGTTTGCGCATTCAATGAAGGAAAGCCAAAAGTTGTCTCAATAACAGATCAGCTTAAAAGTTACAAGCTATCAACACCAACATAAGAGAGATGGAATATCTCTAAAGGTGACGTTGTTAAGCCTTGTTCATATTCCCTTCGGTTCGTACAAACCGAACTCTCTGGATACGTGATTCTTGAGATATTTATTTAACACGTCATGACGTTTGACTAAAGCACACAGTCTTTGAAGACTTGGACAGAGTCCTAACATTTCTCCACCCTATGTTCTGCTCTCCATGCACTCAAACATAACCATCTGCCAGCAGCCTCAAAGCAAGAAAATCTGGCAGAGTGCACTTAAACACCATGGAAAGCAGTTCTATAGATTCATTTATGTTTTCTGATCCTCTTTTTGTTCTGTTTTAAATTCTGAATTTTACATATTCTGGTACACACCATTTGGCGTTCATTCTTTATATCTCGCGATTTTCAGCTACCTCTCTGCCCCTGCTGTCAGCCATGGACGCAAATATTGTTTAAACATCCCTGATGTGGTTGGGTCTTGGGACGAGAGCATTAAGGAGTTGAATAAATCTTAGGACTTAACTATTAATTATCTGGGGTGTAGGGTCAAGAATGGGTCATTTCTGTTCAATATTTACAAGACAAAAAAATCCGCTCCAAAATAAAACTCCATTCATGCTAACGCCTGACTAGCTGATGCTAATCTACTCTGCAAACAGTTTTAGGTCAGAGCCCTGCTGAAAGATCCCTGCTTAGCAATGAGGTATCCAGAGATTTATCTGGAGCTATAGGGCTTTATCTGAATCCTTCAGGAGAATAAAGCCCTCACGTCCACTCATAGCAGTACTATATGAATTAAAGAGAGTATAAGGAGGACATGACCACAAAAAGGAATGGGAGAAATTGCAACAGTCAGTATGGCAGCTATAGTAATAGAACTCCTGCCTTTAGAGCGATAAAACCTAAAAAATAAAAATGTCTTAAAACTATATGATTTCTTCTACATGGAACACCAAAGGAGACATTGCAGAATGTTCGAACTGCTTTCTCCCATAAAAGAGATGTGGAAGAAAAACTCACTTCTGGGGTTCTAAAGCTTCAAAAAGTGCAAAAAATGAAAAAAGTAGTAAAAGTAGTCCAGACAACTCACAGGCGAAATTAAGTTATTATTCACCAAATATTTTTTTTACAGCTATGGTCACCATTCACTTTCATTTTATGGACAAGAGAATATGAGACATAGGTGTAAATGAATATGTAGGAATGTATGAATGAATATATGTATACATACATTTTATTTCAGTAGAAGACCCTTTGTGTGATTTGAACATTTGATATAGGCTATGTTGAAACGTAAGCTTGGCCAACAGTTTTGGAAATGTCAGACTATTCCCATTCAAGTACAAAGGGGCTATACTTCCATGACTAGAAAGGCAATGGTCAAAATGGCCACAGAGTGAAATAACTTTAATAAGAACTTCTTATGAGTCACATTTTATAAGCTTGTAATGTAATGCAGTTTGCTGATCGTGGTGGCTTAATAATTATTCTATAGAAACACAGACTCCCTGTAGAAACATAAAGAAGGTATTGTCCATTCAGTTCAATCTTTACATAATGGTGTACAGTTCAAGCTTTACATTGCAAACTTTTTCAGCCCTACAGGTACATCATTTATCTTTAGGCAACAGGAAAGCATAAAGGTTGATGAGTGAAACACAAACCTAAAGTAATGCACAATTTGAGGGGTAGACAAATTAAGGTACCCCCAGCTATTCACCAGAAACTGGACCGCATGTTAAAGCTAATGTCACAGAGTAAGACTTCTTTTAAGATTTCTCGGACGGTAAAGGATTACACTCTTAGGTGTAATCAATATTCTGGCTGTGGTTTGGGAAGAGAGCCAAACTAGTGGAAACTAGTCTAACTCTGTGTACAGTACATTAGGAAGACGCATGACTATATTTATGACCTGCTTGTTTTACATCTGTTTAGAGAGCCACAGCCAACTGGGAGCCATATAGTTATAAATCCATTGAATACTATACTTTTGAGTCCTTATATTGCTGTTTTCCTATTGCAAAATTAGGCTTTGTGTTTGCACAACACGTCACCGTTCATGCATGTCTATACCATCATGCATGTACACTTTACGTCAAACACAAGAAATATACAACTCATAAAACAATCAATATCCCTCACTCAAGAGCCCTGTGCAGAGGGAGTCTGTCTTTAATAGAAATATTTACACAACCTGAAGATAATATTTTGATGTGTTTCACTGGACATTGTCATCTAGGAGTGATGTTAACGACAGAAAGGATATTGTTTAGTTGACTCCAGAGAACATTATGAGATGTATCTAATGCAGATCAGATGTTCCCCTCTTAGCCTTCCTTTCAGAGGAAAACACAGTCGACCGGCCCTGAGGTGTGCATGCAGCGCTGCATACTTCTGGATAATAACACACTCTGTTTTAAAGGAGTGCACTGATACAGAAACGGTGCCGATGCTTTTATGAGAGCATCTGCTCAGATGATGGATTGTGAAAGACTGTACTTCTGCATCCTCTCCAACAGGACCAAACATGGAGTGGAACAGCAAGTTTAAGATCCAACTGACCCGTTCACTGCAGCTAAATGGATAAGATAATCTTTTAAAGCCAATCTCGTATATGAATAGACAGCTTTAAAAGACTGATAACTTCTCAATCTGTATTTTGTTTTGTTTTCCAGTAAAAGTAACTAAAAAGCAAGGTTGTAATTGTGTAAAATATTAAGATTAAGATTTGTTTTCAGAAGAATCCAGAATTGAGTTGCAGTACCATTGCCACTGTTTTGTTGTTGTTCCCACACACATGTATCTTGTTTAAACCATATTCAGATATATTCCAAGGAAAATTATTTTTTGCAGTGTAAAATGAATGGTTATTTTCACCTTTAAACGTATGTATACAACAATATATACAATAAAACAGATTTTCATTGTGGAAACATCAAGAAAATCTTTTCAGAGGTCAGTCAATGCACAAAGCATCATTTCTAGCACAAGCCAGGCAGCTGTCTGTTCTTTACACTCAATCATATTACATTCTCACCAGCACAGCAACTAAAATATGGCAAACTGAAGCACAGCATGTAGGATTTTTATGCTAAAGAAACTGAAAATAAACAGAGGGCTCACCACAGTCATTCATATTTTTATTGGCGTGAGTTTCCTGATATGGATGAGGGTCTGTTACAGTAGCTCTGGCATGCTGTGGGGCAGTTTTAGGGAGCTATAAATTTTATTTTCCTCAGTTACATAAAACAAATGCCGTATTCAGTTCACTTCTCAAATCGAGGCAGGGATCGAATGCAGAAGTGAGAAATGGAGAAAAGACTTTCATCACTGCTTGTTGGTTAGAAAGAACATTAATGTCTAAGGGACACTTTATCAATTTTCAGCGCTATCAAAAACACGTTCTAGAACAACATAGTATCTAATCAGTGGTGCTACTGATGTTGTAAAGCTCAGTGCAGATTTATCATGCGTCTTTGACTGTGGACAAAGTATGCATGACTTTAAACAATCCATGTGTCAGTGCACTTAAATGAGTATGTTGTTACTTTTAACAGATGTTTCTTTTACGCTTCATTCACTTTATAGCATCATACGTTTATCTTGCCTTTATCTCCAATACACAGCTTAAATATGTGTGTGTGTTTGAGTGTGTGGCACTGGCACTGCAACGGTTTTGTCAAAGTAACTCCAGTGATAAGCTAAAATGCGCTGTGCTTGTGGGATCACTGTTGAGATCAGAGCGTTAACGCCTTATTGACTTATCAAACCTTTGAAGCCGCAGCTGCAGTCGAGCGATCAAACACAACCACAGGTAGAGGGAGGGAGTTCGCTCACAGCATGCAACAGTGGTTAGCAAATACCACAAGAGATGCAGCCAATTACAGTGACGTACTGGGTAAAATCCCAGACCAGAGTCATGGCCTTATTTATCCTTTCATTATGAAAGGGTCATTTTGACCTAGAATTTCTGATGAAGCAAGAGGTGGGCGATATGACCATAACGATATGAGTAATTTTATTTCATGAAAACAATATCGTAATATAGTCATTTTTGCTTGAAATAAGGTTGATATAAAATTTTTAGATACCATTTGAATGTTACAATTCTTGAGACCATTTTTGATATCACCGCAAAAACTAATACTGATCTAACTAACGTATGTAAACAAGCTCTCAAGCTTACTGAAGACAAGTAAATAGTGATAAAAAACAAAGAAACTTGTGGCAAGCAGGACGAGGCCAAGGGCCGTGAGAGAACTAATGCGTGATTACTAATGAGCGAAGGCTGGTCCTCTCTCGCCCATGTTTCCGTAGCTCCTCCGTGAGATACAAGGTCGGTGCGGCGCGCAGGTGATGCTCATTAGTAATCACGCCACCGGCCTCGTGCCGTTCTCTCACGGCCCTCAGCCTCGTCCTGCTTGCCACAAAACAAATTACGAGCGATAGCCTAATAAACAAAAATAGCATCTCTTAGACAGTGCGTGAGTACCAAATCGATTGAGTTCTCTTTCACGTTTCACTTAAACGTTTAAACGGGCAAGGCTTAAAAATGCATGCAAATACAAACTTTCGTGGTGGTGCAGCACCGCATCACTTGAGCGTAACCACGCTAGAAATGGTCATCCAAAATATAGACCGATCGACAAATTTCTCAGATTTTCCCTATTGAGTGGTGCTCACCTGTACAAAACTTGCTGCCATAATGCTAGGGTGTTGTAGGTTGTTGCCAGATCATTGCAATCAATTTGCTATTGTGTTCTGCGCGGCTGCTGGGGCATTGCTAAGTAATTGAATACATGAGATGATGTATGTGGAAGTTACTTATCTATAGTTTAAGTACAAAATGTCTCTAGAAGTGAGCCAAATTGTTGCAAACAATTGGGGACATACTTATTTGCAACAAAAAAAAAATCATGAAGCAAAAGTATTATCATTCTAAAGATACAAAGTTTTCATTGAGGAATTATTTGAACTATATAGCCATTAAAAATAGCTTCATCTAAAAACAGTAGACGTCTAAGGCATATATCTTCATTTAGATAGCTGTGTGTGTGTGTGTGTGTGTGTGTGTGTGTGTGTGTGTGTGTGTGTGTGTGTGTGTGTGTGTGTGTGTGTGTGTGTGTGTGTGTGTGTGTGTGTGTGTGTGTGTGTGTGTGTGTGTGTGTGTGTGTTCCCAGTATATACAATATACAAAACTTGCATACTGCTACTGTGATATGCAGCACATCCCTTATGTACACTCAATCAGTCACATGTTCAGTCTAAATATTGACCTCATACAAGTGAGCTGTAAACCTCTCATCACACTCCAAAATGTACTTCAAAATGTAACCTTTAAAAATGACTAACGTTCCAGGAGATGTTTAAAATAAATACATGGTAATTCAGCAAAACACTAAAGATTTAATAGATAATTCTAAAAAGCAAATTGTCGACATAGAGCAAATTAAAAGCTTTTAGGAATAAAGAGAATGTTGAAGTCTGAAAGTCACATAAGGACACATTTTACCTTTGTAGCCGAGTTTAACTCTAGGCACACTCTCCTTCATGCAGTCCACCTTGGGCAGAGAGAAGAAGAGCATCATCAATGTAGACCACCAGACACTGGAGAATCGCCCCAACCCGACCTGGTGGAGATGCTGATGTCTGTTCCTCTGCTGCTTTTTGTTTTCCCCCCCAGCAGTCTTCATGATGGGAGAGAGGAGAGTTCTGCTGCTGTGGACCTGTGATGGAGAGGACAGTTAAGGGACATCCAAGGGAGTGGCTGGGCATATTTGTGTGTGTGTGTGTGTGTGTGGTGTTTGAGGTCTTGTTAAATCCCGAACAAATGTTCAGCTGCTTTACTGTGGTCTCTTTCAGGCATGCCTATGCATTTTAGCAGCTCTGCATCAGCTGCTGCTCTATTCAAGTCCTTTCTTTTGTCCACCAACACACATACTTTCTCTCTCTCTTTCTAAATCTGTTTGTCTCTAAACAAAAGGTCAGCTTGATGAGAGCAGCCACTTTCAGCCTTCTTTCAAATGCCTTTCTTTTATTTTCTCACACCATCTCTCGTCTGCTCTGTCCCCGTCTCCCTTTCTTGCTTCTACAACAAACACTATTGTAAAAGCTGAATGGCTGGGGTGACGATCATGTCTGAATCTCTGCTTCATTAGTCAACAGAGTGCCATGAAATTGTGGGAGAGAGAGAGAGAAAAAAACTGTTGTAGTCCATCTTCATTTGGACATTTCCTGCAGGGAATCATTAAGAACAAGGATTCACACACTCCAGAGCAGGGGCTCTCAAAAAGGTCCCATTATTTTGAATGAAGGAACGAGCAAATTAATGAATGAATGAAAGAGGGGATGGAGAGGCTTCAACTTTGTTGTCCAACAACTAACTAGTGGGTTTACGTAGATTTTTTTACCAGGGTTGCTTTAAAGGAATTAATTAAGAGACTTGTCAGTGAGGGCTTGAGGGTGTTGACAGTGTTCTGTGGTATGGCATGTTGAGTAAAATCCTCTCTAAATTCATCTTTTAAAGAACTTTTTCAAATGGCCAGGCCAAAATTCCACATTTTGGAACAAATTCACCACCTTCAACAATAAAAAATCAATTCGGAACTTGATTTCAGTTCTATTTCTCGACTTTTTGTGCTTAAACAGACACAACACATACACACAAAATTGTCAAAATACCCATCTCACGAGTATCCTCGCAAACAGTCGCTTATGTCTTAAGTGAACATAAACAATTAAGAAACAAAACAGGAGCGTATCATTATTTTGGATGCATGCATTAGGTCATAAATGTGACAGCAGCCTAATATACAGTACCTTCTGCCATCTGTCATTAATGTTAATCAAACAAAAGACAAAGAGAAAATCACTTTTGTAGCTTTAACAAAGAACAATTAGATTCAATTTTTACAGTGAAGACCATGCAGTGTTATTTTACATTTGATTATTCGATAAAGCACTGTTTATATCATTCGTATCTTTGTTCTATTGTATGTATCTATGCTTGTAATTAGTTTATTTTTATTTTCTATTCAGATTTACGCTACAAAATCACTACTCTATTCTAGAATGATTCAGTCTTTCCATCTGGTGAAATTGTTCTCATATACATATCGCATTAAAACAATATATTGCAAAGTCAGTTTTTTTTTTGCCTTTTTACTTGTTGAATATCAATCACCAATACTGAATTTCATGCAAATAGTGTCCATTTATTTGAATGACCAACTTCTACCCAAACACATCCACTGCATTGTTAAACAAAACAGAAACACAGTTAATCTATTTTTTTTAGATGTATCTGACAAAGACACATTGTCACTAAGGAATGCACACAGCAGATATACACATCTCTAACTCCAACACAAAGATAAGTCAGATTTGTCTGTTTATTTAAAAGAGCAAGGCGGCATAGATAGCTTTGATTATGATGGATCATAAAGCATTTTTGACATGTAAAGGCAGATTTAAAGGGGCTAAGGGAGCTATCTCAGAGAGCAAGTGTCATGACGATATCTGCACTGGGGCTCTTGGGTAATGCCTGAGTCTTGGAAGTTCATATATCAAACAATAGAACTTCTTTCCCATATTTTTTATGTTTTCTTCCTCCTCTGATTTGACATCACATTGTATCTCCTGGACAGCTTACACGTACCCCAGACATAGTCCACTACATTACTCTACAGTTCAGCTTTAAAAAAGTTCAGAGCTAGTTCATTATTATGAGCTCGGGTTACGCATTCGTGTTATTCTACGCAGGGGTCAATTTTTTCACCGTGGTCATAGTCGTGTGTAAGGCTTACCCCCTTGCTCTGTGTAAATAATATTCATATCAACATAAGCACACGCAGACACCAAGGCCATGTTATGTTTACATAATATTCTAATCACAACATACAACGGAAATTTGTCTTCGTTACATCACATGAAATTCATATCATGTTCAAGGTGACGGTTGGGCTCTCTAAGACCAACACCAGTTTTTAAAGAAGATAAATAATATCCTATCATTTGCCCCCTCAGAATAACCATTCAAATATTGCTCTGTGGATATATGGCTGGCTTCAATATTTTATATAACCAAAGCCTAGTTATATTAGAGTGTCAGCTCACATGGTCGCCACCTGTACAACTACTATTTTGTTGCTTAAAGAGGAAAAATTCAAAAGGTAAAAAAAAATATTATTATGAGAAACAGAAATATGGTTTTGTTGCTGCCAGAGATAGTAAAAAATAATTGTTTTGGTTGAACTGAAATGGAGCTAAGTTAGTTTGGCAGCATTCATTTATTATTCCACCTGACTCTAATTATACATAAATGACTGAAGTTGAATTACTTCAAATAAAGCAAAGGGTATTTATACTAAGTGTAAGTGGTACAGTAGATGTTTGCACGAGTATAAATAGCAACTGCATTGCGTTACACTACTGTAAGAAATGTTGTAGTGTAAAGGTGCTTTTCACACTTGGTGCTGTTCACACAAAATGTAAGTAACATAAGTAATTTTCCTTAAAGGTACAATATGTAAGAATTTTGTATCAAAATATCCAAAAACCACTTGCACCGTGTTATATATTTCTTTCAATTGTGTACTTCCATTATCCTAAATGTTTCCAAGAAATTGTAAATTCAGAGAAATTCACAATTTTAAAAGTTCACTTGTCGCCTGTCAGTGATGTAATATCCGCGCTCTCCCTGGTTTCCGCCTGTACTGCAATAGTAACCATGGCGACTGATGTAGAAAACTGCATAGTGCGTAACGTCTAGCGGCCAGCTGTTGTTGTTTCGTTCAAACATTATGGATCATGGCAAGCGGACTAGGGCTGTGTTGAAAAAATCGATTCACCAATTCTGAATGGATTTTCATATTAATTTCTAAAGATCGATCCGTAACTCAGCGGATCGATTTAATAATAGGCTTACATTTTCCCCGTGAACTTTAACTTGCCGCGACTGGGAGATCCCTGTATGCGCATTGAAAGGCTTTCACTCAGCGCGCACATTGTTATGACAACGGGCTTTGAGTGAGTCATTCGTTCATTCAACGAACACGTTCAAAAAAGCTGATTCATTAAAAGAGATGTAATGAAACAAGGTGCTAATTATTTTTAACTTTGAGTTACACTTTTCAAGGCTTAGCTGAGCAGCAATGCGTCGCATGGGTAACGCTGAAGCTTCACTTATTAGAGACCAATATGGCATTGATTCAGTGCGTGACTCGCTGATTTTATTTCCCCGCGGCTTCCTCGCGCTGTGGAATGCTGACCAGCGCTGCTGCTGACGCGCATTTATGGCAAATACCCGTGACGTGAACGTTAAAAGGATGATACGACAAATATTTCGCTTTCCTTTGACATGGCAACCTTTTTCACGAATACATATGACTTCAAAGACAGACGCCGGTAATCGCACGCGCTCTGCCGATCTCTCTCATTCACTGTCTGTGCGAAACCTCTGTAGGCTACACATCACCACGATAAACAGTCTTGTTTGTTATCATAATGAACTTGTTTAACATTCAATACACATGCATGAAGTTCAAAACAAGAAGGGTATAGCCTTATAAAAAAACGTGAATATCGCGGTTGCTGCGGTTACTTGCTATCCTCGGTTGACTTGTCAGTTGCGCAGTACTACAAGATTGCGGTAATCGCGACAGCCCTACGCTGTTGATATACCTCTGCGTCCTCTGTCGTCTACACCAGTGCAAGTTTGTGAAAGCAGTTGTATCAACACTCTGGAAGGGGGATTGTTCTTTACAACCATCAATACTCCATTAATTTGCAGTTAAATGTCTATAATAATAGTATCAATATGTTGCATAACTACAGTCCTGTAATTCAGGTAACAGCTGGGAAAAAATGCTTTTTTCAAAAACACTTATCTAAATCTCGAAGATCGGATCAGATCGGATCGAATCGAATCGAATAATGAGAATCGATTCAAGATCTTGAGAATCGGAATCAAATCGATTCTTGAAATTTGAATCGAAACCCAGCCCTAGCGGACTTTGGGACAAAAGGAGAACTAAAACGAGGATCAATATCAGCGTAGCGTTTTTGAGATGCCGAGAGTTCCACGTCCGCGACTAACTTGGACTTGACAGAGCTTCGGGACTTGACAGGGACTCAGCTCTTGCATGAACTTTATTAGACAGGTGAGCAAATATACATAAAACAAATCAATGTTATATAGGCTAGCTCAAACATGATGAAATGTTAGAATATGTATATGTTATTCTATTGTTGATCTAGCTTACTGGTGGTCTCAAATAGCAAACAAACTAACACATAGATGTACATTATAACTTACAACACACTCAAATGCTGATTAGTGTAACATTAGACCAAATGAACCAGCGCTGCGTTACCTCACAAGTTTAATTCGTCAAATAAACTGACCTGTGTGAGTATTAATTCAGCACTTGCGGGTAACGTTAGTTCGGCAGAATTAAACGTCCTTATTCCTTTATATCCGTGGGACTCGCGTGTGGCGCTGATATCTGTCTCTTATTAGCAATCGCGACCTGCTTCATACCACAGTCATGTTAAAAAAACATGAATGTTTTCACTCATCCATAAACATAATTAGATCCATCAGCATGACAGCAAGTTACATCATTCTCCATCATTCCATCAACCTACGCCTTTGTTATTGTAAGAGGTTAGCGACCCCTAGCAGCGAAAAAAAAGAATTACATATTGTAGCTTTAATATATAAGGA